TAAGGGGCTATTGTGATCTCTCCCCTCCCCCTTTCCCCTACCTTTTGTTTACAGTGGTAGGGACTGTGAAAGGCTGTATCATGTATATAATTAAGTTGCTTTTTTTTTTTTTCTTTTTTGGATGCCTAGGGTTTCAAAGACAAATTTTCTTTTTAAATGATTTTAAAGGTATATTACCCATATTAGTTTGATATATTTAAAAAAATTAATTTTTATGTGTACTAGCCTCAAGATTTGAACTATGAAGCTAGTTAGCAAAACATTAAGTTGCTAATTGTTGGTTTATTAATTAATAGATAGATATAGGAAATTTCAATTCAAATTTCATATACTGTTGGATTTGGTAAACTCTCCCATGACATGGATAACCTTATTAGCTTTTAACAGAAATAGAAAATTTAAGTCATCTATTACTATATAGATTATGATTATGTATTACACAGGATCGAAAAAAGGAACGCATAAATCATCATTTGTGAGACTTCAAGCATGCAAAATAATTAATAATGTGAGCATGTTCTTATTAAAGTTTGGAAGAAAAGAGAAAATTAGGATATTAGTTATAGTCATTAAATATGTGTGAATCATGTCATAACTTGATTTTTACTAGGTATTTATTACAGAAAGCTTCAAATAAAATTCATTTTCTATAACTTTGATTTTAAAGCTTCAATGAAAAAATGTAAAATTAATTGGGTAAAAGAAATAAAGTAAACTGGGCTCTTTTTTTTCGGTAGAAAAAATATACTGGACTTGGTTGCCGAGAGTTAAGACTTTGAAATTATGAATTGCAGGACCAAATTGATCAAATAAGAAGACCAGGGATTGAGTTAATGTGTCCACAGAAGATGAGGATTTAATGAAAAATCCATGAAACGGCGTCGCTTAATGTTGGCAGAATAAAACAACCCTAACTTCTCAGAACTCTCATGTTCTGTTGTCTCCGAAAATCTACTGCCTCTTCTCTCGATTCCCTCTTGATTTTATCTCAAATTCCACTTGAGTTTGGTTGAATCACGACATCAAATGCAGAGATTTTCGAAGCCAAGGTCAGCCAATCGAGGGAATTAGATAGGGCCCATTGCAAGGAAGAAGAGTCTGAATTCGATTTGGAATAGAACTCTAATACACGAAGGTATGAATTTGACCTTAAAAGAAGAAGTTATACAGATTCCTAGTTGGGTTATTGGATTTCAATTCCGAATAGGATTAGATTTTATCTATAATTTGAGATTAGGATTTGAGATTAGTGTGAAGGGTTTGGGTTTCTTTTTCTTTCTAGTATAAAAGGGGGTCCGGCCAATGGAGAAAGGGAGGCAGAAAGTTTGAGAAAAAATTGATCTTCTTTTCTGTTCTAATCTAATTTTCTTGTGAATCGTTTGGTATATTGCTATTTCATAGATTTTTTTTCGTTGTAAACAAAACCGTACCCAGACCATGAAGCAAATTTGGGAATTGCATTGTGATCTGTGAGTTCTAGGATTATTTTGTGAGATTATTATCATTCTGAGATTATTTTATTGGGTTGTTGAAATCACGTTAATATATGGGATTATTGATTATTGATGTATGAATGAGTATCAGGGAGTGTATGGAATTTCATGGGATTTGATAGCTTGCAATAAAATTGAAGTCTGGAGTAATTTTGTCCTGGTTTTGTATATTTTGGTTTTCAATGCTGTCCGAGATGAAATTTTCAACTTTGACAGTATAAACCTGGGGCTTTGAAATAAAGGATGAAACATGTTATAATCGCCATGTTTAATTTTCTAGGATATTTGTGGTTTGTTGTTTTGTGGGTTCGAAGGTTTGTTAAGGTATTATTTGGATGAATTTAGAGGGAAATAGACTGTAGGAGAAACCTAAAAAAATAAAAGTCTATGCTTCATTAATAATATTTTGCTATGCTTCACTTGACCTGGTTGATGAATAAGCTGTTAATCCAAGACTGAAAATCAGAATTTGTTCCTGTTTATCTGGCTCCTAATGTTTGTCTTGATATGGTAAAAACTGGACAATGATTAAGGAGCAATTTTTTTTTTTTGGAAGATCATTAGAAAGAATGGAAAGAAACACATTTAGCTGATCATTCTTTTATCCTTCAATTATAGAAAAATGGCAAAATGCTCTTTTCTAATTAAAGTCGATTTTTTTTTCCTCCTAGTGTAAATAGATTGAAAGTACCCTAATTTTAAAAGATGTAGTAACTATATTTTATATCCCACGCGTAATCATACAGACCTAGGTGATTCGTCAACAGATCATAACTTTATTAAATTTATTCTATGTCTGTCATTAAACTTTTCTGGCATTTTTCTCATTTTTCCTTTGCCGAAAGTGATGATATATATCCTAAATAAAGTTTGATTAAAAGTATACTTCAGTAAAAACAACAATTAAGATTTACTAACCACACATCCTCAAAAAAAAAAAAAAAAAAAAAAAAAAAAAGATTTACTAACCACACATTGGTGGTATCCCCTAGTGCGTAGTAAAGATATTCAGAAATTCTGGATCATACTTACATCTTCTCACGCAAGCTGCGCGAACTGCAGTACTCCAAGTTATTCATGTGGAACCAAAACCGCCCGTCCAGTTCAAAGCCCATAAGCATCTTAAGGTGAATATCAGAAGCAGAGAGGCCTGAGATATTGGATAGCATGATCGGGAACTGAGCTTCAATTCTGCATGATTCATTGAAATCCGAAATCTTTGTTTGGCTATTGAAAAGAAAAAAGTAGGTGTGTGCAGAGGAAGAGCTATCGGTGCAATTAGAGGCATACACATAGAGTGATGAACTCATCGGCATCCTGCAATTTAGAACATGCATGATGCTATTCGTAGTTAGCGCTGGGCTAAATGCCCCATACGTCCTACATGGAAATTTAACAAGAGGGTAGTAGTAGGGAATGGAACATTTATTCCTATCGAGACTGGCATCCACCACTCGAACTGTTAGATTCTCACGAGAGATTTCCTCCACTAAGAAATTTTGGTTTGTAGTAAATTTGAGAGGCAAAGTGGTGCGGTTGTTCTTGCAAACTAGTTCATACTCTGGGTGACCACACTCCTTAGGATCACAGGGTAATCGGAAAGGGAGATCTATAGTGAGTTTTCCACAGGAAGAAGGGACGCAATCAGCCATACAAGTGTCAGGGAAAAGAGACACAGAAAGGGCCATCAGGCCGAAGAGGGCAACAATTTTTTCTCTAACTAACATCCTAAAGCTAGGGTGTTAGAGCATGGGGTTTTCTAAAGGATATAATATAGGAAAAACTCTGATGATAACAGATACGACCCAATTACGCCCCCCACAAAAAAAGGCAGAAGAAGAAGATAGCAACCAGTGCAAACTAGGTGGCTCTCAAAGGCAATAAAGCAAACACCTAGAATCCATATTGCCTAAACTGATGGGATGACTACATAAAGAAGCCTTCAAGTTGCTGCATAGTACGATGCTGCTTTGGCTGACTTTGATTTTTAAAAGGATTAATTGGAATAGTAGATTCCCCTAACATGTCTTTTTAACCTCAATGGAAAAAGGAAGCCTAGAATTTTCTTCACATAGTTGTTACCCAATTTGCAGCTTCCATGAAACTTAAATCAACGGACCAATAATCAACTGGAAACACCCAGCACAGCTAAATTTCTAATCAGAAGCTCTGAAGTAGTTTCCATCAGGTTGCCGCGTGTCTACCCCACAGCCTACACAGTTGGTTTTTTTTTTTGGTTAACTACAGTAATTCGGAGATGGGACGGGGAGGGGACGATATTACAAGGGTGAGGTGGGGCTCCAACTCCACAACCCACGTGCCAATCGTGGAGCAAAGTGGCGAATATTTGTCCCATAGCAGAAATTTCATAGAAGAATTAATGACAAATGAGTTCCTACTTTGAAAAATCTAAAGTCCGCAAATCCTCCCTGCGCCTTCCAAAACGTCATGCTCATTGTATAAGGTACACAGCTTCTTCTTCCGTTCTGATAATCGTATCCTAAATCACACTGAATCTTGGATTCAAAGACTTCAGGGATGGAAAGTTTCTTCAGAATGATTCTTTTTCTTTTTTGCTTTGTCTTGATAGTGAGGGTTACAGAGCTCCATGCTACCAGAGATGAATGCCAACCCACAAAGTGCAATCACCATACCATCAGATTCCCATTCCGACTTAAGCGGCAGCAACAACCGGAAAACTGCAGCTATCCTGGATTTGAACTACCCTGCATAGACAAAAACCAAACTGTGCTAGAGCTGTCGCGAAATGTGAAGTTCTTGGTAAAGCGTATAGATTACAGAGCACAGGGGATTCAGTTATATGACCCCCAGGGATGTCTCGCGAGGCAGCTTCCCAATAATTTATCTGCATTTCCCTTCCCGGATGACAGCGACCAACCTCAAAAATACACTATTTTCAATTGTTCAGGCGAAGGACAAATGACAGAAAGAGATGAATCCCACGCTATTCCTTGCCTAAGCATCCAAGGATTCCAAGTTGTAGCTCTTCCTTCCGATTCTACAGAAGTTGCTAATTTGTTAAATTGCACCAGAACGTTATTAAACATTTCGGTAACACAAACATTTAAAGGTATGTTGTATGACGGGACAAAGGATGTTCAGTTGAGTTGGGAAAAACCAAACTGCAGAAGATGTGAAGTGGAAGGCAGGAAATGCAGACTGAAGAAAAATAATAGTACTACAGAGGATAAAACAGAGTGTTATGGTCCATCCAAGAAAGAAAGAGGTATGGTTTTAAGTTTTAACAATTCCAAATATTATGAATGCCATCAATGCTCTCTGAGTTCATTTGTCTTCCTTTAATTTTCTAGCCTTTACTTGTTCTGTTGCTTTAAATGCTTTTACTTTTGATTCTGAGATGAACATCTGGTTTAAAATTTTACATCCCCGGCCATTGGCCAAAACTCCGATACCTCGGTTTTGTCATATCAGATTGTAATAGATTTGAAGAACATATCAAGAATCTAACTCTCGAATCTTTTACAGATAGACCGAAAAAACTGATGGCTACAGGAATAATCCTAGGTTCCTGTCTTCTTGGAATAATTGTCTTTGCACTTTACCGCATTCACCATTCATACAAAGCAAACAAAGAGGGCCAACTCAAGATTGAAAATTTTTTGGAGGATTACAAAGCTCTCAAACCCTCGAGATGTTCTTATGCTGATATCAAGAGAATAACAGATCAGTTCAAGGACAAACTTGGAGAAGGGGCCTATGGAACAGTTTTCAAAGGGAGACTTTCCAATGATGTTTTGGTCGCTGTTAAGGTCCTCAACAATTTCAGAGCTACTGCGGAAGAGTTCATTAATGAAGTGGGATCAATGTGTAGAATCCACCATGTCAATGTTACTCGCTTGATTGGATTTTGCGCAGATGGAAATAAAAGGGCTCTTGTTTATGAGTACATGCCAAACGAGTCCTTAGAGAAGTTCATATTTGTAGCCAGGGATGAAGATCGTTTCCTCGGTTGGGAGAAGCTTCAAGATATTGCTATAGGAATAGCCAAAGGAATTGAGTACCTACACCAAGGTTGCGACCAACAAATCCTTCATTTTGATATCAAACCTCACAATATCTTGCTAGACCAAAACTTCAATCCGAAGATCTCTGACTTTGGTCTAGCAAAGCTATGTTCCAAGGAACAAAGTGCTATTTCTATGACAGCGGCCAGAGGAACAATGGGATATATCGCTCCTGAAGTACTGTCGAGGAACTTTGGAAAAGTGTCATATAAATCAGATGTTTATAGTTTTGGAATGTTATTGCTAGAAATGGTAGGAGGGAGGAAGAATATTGATGTCACAGTGGAGAGTACGAGCCAAGTTTACTTCCCGGAATGGGTATATAATTGCCTGGAGAGAGGAGAATTCGAGATTAGAATAGAGAATAAGGGGCATGCCAATATAGCAAGAAGACTTACAATTGTTGGACTTTGGTGCATTCAGTGGTACCCAACAGACCGTCCATCAATGAAAGCCGTGGTTCAAATGTTAGAAGCAGAAGTTGACAGTTTAACAGTGCCACCTAATCCCTTTGGCCATGTAAATGGCGTGCAGACAACAAGTGTCAATATCCCAAGGAAACCAATTAATAGAGAACTAGAAGTTATCTTTGAATGAGAATATTTGGAATGTATTCTACATATAAGTAGTTCTTTTACTTTTCGTAATGCGTCTATTCATATAAAGTAAGGACTTAATATTGAGTGTTGAATGTTTTATAAAATCATTAAAGGGCTTGTATGTTAACTTACTCTATATCAACCAATGTAACATGGAATGTTTTATAAGAAAGTTTTCCCCTTGTCTTTTTTTCTTGTTTCCTTTTAATCCTT